TGTGCGAATATTTAATTAATTTAAAAATGTGAGTAAGGAAAAGTTCTTTAATAAATCTTTATGTACTTAGTAGATGCAATAAAAGAAATATGTTTAAAACATTTTTAAAGATAATAATTTTTAGAATATAATAAAAAAGAAACAATAAAAGAATGAAGGCGTTTCATTTTAAAATGAAAATATTACATTAAAGTCTACACGTGCATAGAAGTTGCACATCGTCAGCTGATATGTAAAATGGATTAACAACATAAACCAACAGTAATAATGATTTACTCATTTAATTATCGTATTAACATATCAATATGTATGTATATCAACAGGTTTAGAAGAGTATTGCGTAATTAACTGGAGTTTAAAATAAACCTCAGGGCTGAATCCTATAATAGATCGTGAGAACCGTGATCGTGAAACCATTTATATCCAATCTTATCAGAATATCGACAACAATATACGATTTTTGTATATCAGAGGGATTTATGAAAAGGGAACATATAAGTATGAGGGCTTTGAACAATTATGTACCAAATCTGTTAGATCCATTATTTCTTTAAACAAATAAGTAGTAGATTTAAAACAAGTAGGAAAGTATAGTCCGACATGGCCGACTATATGATAATTCCGATGTATTTAAGCAATTTATTGATGAAAAACTAAATTTCTAGGAAGTTAGGTTCAAATATAGGCCGATCCTCAACAAATTGGGATTGGGAGGGATGTAATTTTATATAAAGTTTAGTTATGCTGAATTTCATCGCGATACTAATGGTCATAAGTAAATTTTTGGACGTTTAAGTTATTTTTTAAATGGGGGTTTGGGTCAAACGACGGCCGATCATTATAAAAATTGGCACGGACAGTTATGCCTATATAAAACTTAGTTGTGTCAATTTTTGGTGAGATAGTAGTATATTTGACGTAGTTATGAGTTAAAAACCCTAAATCGGAAGGTAAGGTTGTATGGGGGCTAGGTGAACTAATGGACCGATTTCAACCATTTTCAATAGGCATCGTCCTTGTGGCTCGTATGGCTACAGGACAAAGTTTACATGGACAGCCAGCCAGCTAGCCGGACAGACGGACGGACGGACATGTCTTAATCGAATCAGAATCTGAGTCGACCGGTATACTTTAAGGTGGGTGTAGGACCAATATTTTTATGCGTTACAAACATCAGCACAAACGTATAATACCCTCCCCACTATAGTGGTGAAGGGTATAATTAAAACCAATTAAAAAAGTAAGATGCCCTACTCTGGGTGTTCAGTTGTATGGGGGCGTGGTCAAATATTGGACCGATGTTACCCATTTTCAATAGGATTCGCCACTGAGACAATAGAAGATCATGTACCAAATTTCATTGAATTATCTTCAAAAATGCGACCTGTAGTTTGATTACAAGGTTTACATAGACGGACGGATATAGCTAAATCGATTTCTAAGCCGATTGGTATACTTTAAGTTGGGTATAGGACCAATATTATTGTGCATTACAAACATCAGCACAAACTAGGTTATAATTATCCGAATCATGAAAATAACATATCGAGGAACTACAATCAGAACTACATGTCGTATTTTAATGTCTAACCCGATATAACAAAGTATACTTTTCTTAAGGATTGAGTTGGATCCAAATCTCAAATCTGAATCCTAATTTGGCCATCGACTTTTTTAAAGCTTTACTAGCCTGTATTATCAATAAGATATTCTGATGTGAATGTTTTAACTTCAATTCTTTTTAAAACCTTTAAGAATTTTAATAGGTTTTGATATTTGTAACACCTAAATAGCCGATATATTCCCCTGACAAAACTTAAAGCACAATTATATATGTATATGCACTAGTTTATCATGTATATAGTATATCCCTTAGCCATTATTAACATGCGATTCTGGAATCTAATGTCTCTAATTCCTCGACACCTCACACAAACGACAAAAATCTGGTTTAGTTTTAACAGTGAAAACTTTAATTAAGCATTGGCCATTATACTAATGATGTATCACTTCTTTTATACAATCTAATTAAAGATTGGACTTAAACATTTTAGAAATCATCCTGCTCTACCACGAATGTCTAAAAGTCTCACGTACTCGAACTTTAATGGTGACACTTTTGTTAAGTTTAAAATTAGTTTTCTGAAAGGAAGTTCGTGAGGGAGCTATGAGCAAATAATACCGAAATAGGCAGTACCTTTAAGGTATATAAACCTTAAACTGAGTTGAGTAGATTTTCTTATTTTCTTAAACAACCTTCCAACTATATCTACCCTTTTGACGATGACTTTGCCATTCATATTCAGTCAATTATAGACCAAGCCCCTTAGAGATTGAGATATTGAGGCCCAATACCAATTAATCGTTCAACAACGACTTGTTAACAATAATGTGTGCACATAATGTTGTGCCACATCCGAATTTCATAAGGGAAGTTTATATTGAAGCACTGTCCAATTATATACAGAAATATTTTTCTAGATATCTATTGATATAAATCTTACATTTGTAAAATTTGGTAGAGATAGCAATATTCTGAAGGATATTATTAATTTAATGGGAGGTATAGGAAATTGTGAAATGATTTCTCATATTTTTAACACGCGTAAAGGTTATACAGAGAAACAAAGAATTTACCAATAGTCCTTCTACTATGTTGGTCGAGCATGACTATATAGAATTCAAACAAAGAGGTTACAAATATCAGAACAAGCGTTCAAATTAGACTTTCCAACATCTTGCGTAAATTTTGCAACACCCTTTACATATGTATCTTGAAGCTTAGGCATCACGTGTAATCTTGTATAGAGAGAAAATAATAAACAAAACTATAAAACACAAATTCTCAACTGAAATTTTGGGCAAACATGCAAATCAACATAAGATTACATAACATTAGATACATTGCACAGTGTAACGTTCTGTGTAAAAATAAGTATATAAGTATATACATGCTGACAAGGAAAATGTCATGTTGAAATAGTATATCTTTTTTGTATAAAGTGTTAGGAATACATATATCCCTTCACTACCTTTACAGAAACAGTCATGTGACTAGCCCTAAGTTAAATAGTTACACTTTTTCTATAAAAGACTAAATTCTTAAAATAATATCCAAACCTTTTTTTATCAATATCCGATTTCAAGTTCCATAACCTATAAGAAAACAAATTTGTCCGATGTTGGTGGTAGAAAGTACTATTCTTAAAATGTACTATTATTTAATAACTACAAAACACTGTGCAATAAAGCCTTTTATGAAGTTGATAAGATTTTCTAAATGTCAATTCATCTAGAAGAAAAAACATAGAAATGATTATTTTTCCATCTTAGATAAAAAAGCATCTTTAACATTAGTTAAAGTTAACGGTCTCTACTCTACTCGCGGAAATACCGGCTACCGAAAAATATTAATAACTTTTACAAATAACGGAAAATATGTTGGAGTAAAATTCGAATATTTCATAAAATTATTTTATATATTAAATTAGTGAAACATATTTTGTTTTTTTTTTGTTAAAAAAATGACCACTACCATCTTAAGTACAGTGGCTACTGTACAGGATAACTTACCTAAAAGTTTTACTTTTAGTACCATCGATTATATTGTATTCGTTCTAATGCTGTCTATATCAGCGGGTATTGGTGTCTATTTTGGTTTCTTTTCGAAAGCGAAAAATACAACAGATGAATATTTAATGGGCAGTAAACAAATGAAAACCATACCCATTGCCATATCCTTAATAGCAAGGTAAGAGTGGAAATAAATGTTTAAATGTAGTTAAAACGATAATTTATTTTAAATTTTTAGTCAACTTTCCTGCACTGCTATTATGTCGGTACCGGCGGAAAATTATGCTTTTGGATTTACTTATGTTTTTACGGTGGTTTCTATAATTTTCGTAATTCCCATATTAAATTATGTTATTGTTCCTGTATTTTATAATAATAATATATCGAATTGTTATGAGGTAAGTACTAGATACCTAATAGGCCTGTATCATACTGACATGTGCCGATAAAGTTGTTCCTCCTGTTGTACGCTCCTATTCATGACCGACTTGCTTTCTGTATGTATTTTTTTCTTTAGACTTATCCATTCTGTGTTTCTGAAGAATGTAATATCGCTTTCAACATGTTTAGATCTAATTCGACGGACCTTATACATCTATCTATCTATCTATCTATCTATCTATCTATCTATCTATCTATCTATCTATCTATCTATCTATCTATCTATCTATCTATCTATCTATCTATCTATCTATCTATCTATCTATCTATCTATCTATCTATCTATCTATCTATCTATCTATCTATCTATCTATCTATCTATCTATCTATCTATCTATCTATTCTATCTATCTATCTATCTATCTATCTATCTATCTATCTATCTATCTATCTATCTATCTATCTATCTATCTATCTATCTATCTATCTATCTATCTATCTATCTATCTATCTATCTATCTATCTATCTATCTATCTATCTATCTATCTATCTATCTATCTATCTATCTATCTATCTATCTATCTATCTATCTATCTATCTATCTATCTATCTATCTATCTATCTATCTATCTATCTATCTATCTATCTATCTATCTATCTATCTATCTATCTATCTATCTATCTATCTATCTATCTATCTATCTATCTATCTATCTATCTATCTATCTATCTATCTATCTATCTATCTATCTATCTATCTATCTATCTATCTATCTATCTATCTATCTATCTATCTATCTATCTATCTATCTATCTATCTATCTATCTATCTATCTATCTATCTATCTATCTATCTATCTATCTATCTATCTATCTATCTATCTATCTATCTATCTATCTATCTATCTATCATCTATCTATCTATCTATCTATCTATCTATCTATCTATCTATCTATCTATCTATCTATCTATCTATCTATCTATCTATCTATCTATCTATCTATCTATCTATCTATCTATCTATCTATCTATCTATCTATCTAT